TTACATTCCCTGTAATATTTTCATAGTAATAATTTTTACAACAATTACTCTATGTCAGTGCAGGTTTTCATGAAGTGACAGATTCAACCTCTCATAAAAATGTGAAAACAATTTCTAATTAAAATTCATATTTGTGAAAAAAACTTAATGACTCTCAGACAAAACTTAAGCTATTCAATTAGGAGGTAATAAAGCAAGCAAGTGAACCGTGGTAGCTTAGGCGTAGTGTTCGTATTATTTATTTATTCGTCTTTTATAATTTCATAACTTTCCAACACAATTAAGTTAATTGCAATTCTAAGTTTCTAAGTGATGGTTTACCACGTACTCATGGCGATGATGGGAAATATCGTGGGAGAATGTCTGAGACATAAAAAAATACGGTCATGGGAAAAACACCAACACACATGCTTAGCTTATTTTATTTTAATAAATAATATTTGTAGGTGTTTGAAACATTAAATATAAGTTAAGCCTCAGCGGGCAGCGTTCAGCGAAACGAGCGGCGTGGTGTCATGGAAAAAACACGACCTGTATTAGAATGTGCTTGGTGTTACCCGCTCAAGGTGTGCACGTCGCCATGTCACACACTCTACCGAACGATTTCCACGGAAGCCTCTCTACCACAGTGAACAAGAGTATGGAAGCTTCATACAAGCGTCTCGCAACACATACAAGCGCGGGGTCCACCTACAGTAGCACACAGAGAAAATAATGCGAAGTGGTTCTCCCTGAACTGACTGTAGACACACACACTGTCTCTACGCACTACAAGGTTTCATACAATGAACATAACTATATTAATTATAGTAAAATATTCTTCCCATGAATTAATATGCAACATTGCCCACTAGTCCGCTCCATCTCTGACCAAAACAGTAGCGTGCCATGACCGGGTCGACAGTTTGCCAGGTTCAGGTGCACGCTCCACGCTCCGTGCATGGCACGTGGCGTTATCAAGCCTCAGTGCAGGCGTTTAACCGCTTTGAAACCGCGTATGCTCGCCGTTGCCCAAAATTATAGCCATCAATGCTAGTTCTCTTACATATAACTTTGTAATAACTACATACATACAACGACATAATGAGTTACAACCGGTCGAACGGGCATCAAAGTCGTACATATATTGAACGATAATGATACGGTCACTAAACACATCGTGTACGGGTATGACACATTGTTGAAACGTTCTAGCGGGCCTAGTAGTGATAGTCGTGTTTTTTCGTGCCTGATGCGTTCATAGCATGGTGAAAGTATCTCTTCCTTTCTTATAATATTATTATAGTTGTAATGAAAATTGAAATGATAGACGAATAGGGTAATTGACACACTTCTGAATAGAATTATACTTTTTAGGGCGGTCGAAACGAAACTTTTTACAGTGTAATTGTTGATTTGACTACAAGAAACTGTGAGTGGGAATATCATAGTTTATTATAGTTAAATCAATAATTTATTTGTGTAAACTTTTAAAGTAAACAAACCTGTTTTATAATTAATTGAATCAGGGGTTACTTTGCGGAAATCTATTATATTGGTAAGAATTACTTTGCCCACATCCGCTCAATAAAATAAAATGATGTGTCTTACCTAGGTTGAGAAAGGGCGGGAAGTCCTCTTCAAATAAGTAATTCTTACAATTTTATCTTTTTTTTATTTTAATCAGAAAACCGAAAAAAAATTGTGACACAAATAAAGATATGGTACTTAGGTTCAAACTTTCTACCTTATTAAGAAATTTTGTGTACAGATCATATGTATGTTGAAGATTTGCTTTTACATTTATGTAATGTTAAATAATCTACAGTCACAATTTTGTCTTAGATTCTTTTGTAAGAAAGGAAATTTCACTTTGATTTTGCGATACATGTAGTTTTTAGAGTATTATTTGAAAGGAAGATGGGATATTGTTTTAATAAAAATCTATTGGGTGACTAGAAAATCGATATTTTTAACTTACTAATTAAAAGATCGGTTCTTCAGGTACAGATATTGACTGTACACTAAGGACCATAGAGCCTTTTGTGTCTATTACTACTATGGAGCCATCAACAGTTATTTGTTAAAGCAAAAAATCCGTGCAGTTTTATTTAGTTTATATATTATGCGTTAAGACTTTATTTGTAGGTAGTTTTGCGATTTTTATTTGCCCATTTGTTCATAGCTAATTTAATTTAATGTTTTTTGAAAAATTTTCAAACCGTTTAAGAATAAATACATAACCATTAGATATCTTAATCTAAATAATCTCTTAAGAAGTTTAATCGTACTAACAAATTGGCGATTGTTATAGAGTATCAAAATAAGCAACAAATAATGTTTTTTTTCAAATTTAGGCCACTGGCATATATATATATATATATAGGAATGTTGTTAAATAGAATTAATTTACAATTACAAAATACACGGATCACAGGTAATCAGCCATAAATTGTACTGAGACTAATTTAATAGCTGATAATAATAATTAATTCGTTTCCACGAGTTAATTATCCGAATAGTTAGTAGCGGGATACAACAAGTGAACCGTGTCACGCCAGAGCCATGACTCCCTTCTCCCGTGCTCCGCCGCTGCGCGGTCATTTTATAGTTTTATACCCCGCCATTATTCACCACGTGCTCGGCGATGAAGAAAAACATCGTGAGGAAACCTGCATGTCTGAGAAATAAAAAAAATATTTCGAAGACATGTTAAATTCGCCAACACGCACTGGGGCAGCGCGGCGCACACTTCCTTGCCCTAAAAACCTCTCAGAAATGAGAGGAGGCCTGTGCCAGCAGCGGGACGTATATGGGCTGTAACTTTTTTTTTTGCGCCCGAAGCAAATATAGGCAACCCTCCGGAAAGCGGGGGAGGGAGGCGGTGAATGCTCATAGCATACCACGCAGCCGGCTGCGTGGTTATGTGGAGACTTTTACCCACTAAACACCGCCTTTTAGGAATTGGCTTAACGATCTGACTAGAGATCTCTAGGCAGTTCTCGGCAGTTCGTATACGGCTGTAACTTTACTTTTTTTTATACCCGTTGTTGTTAAACAAGCCGAGTAGTGGGGCGGTGGGGGAAACCGAGCGACGCGCCGGGCGGCGCGATCGGTGCACGTGTTTTTTATTATTTTGCTGCACCGTACCGACTTCCGACGTACGACGGTGCCGCCGTCATGCCGTCATATACTTACTCAAAAATTGTAATGTTATGTAAACAATGTCAACTGACCTTCTAATAGGTAGGTAAATTGCCATTAAGTTATTAATTTCATTCACAGCAGCCGAGCTGAAGTCCACTGCTACCACGCGAGGAAGATTAGTGTTCCTTTTTCTTACTGACAGGACTTTAGAGTCTGGACTAGGTCGATAGCAATTTAGTGTTTCAATTGTTTTATTCTATGATTTACTTCTGGGATGTAACAACGCATATTTATTACCTTTTTTGTTTTGAAGTTGTTATCCAGTTTGTTATATTTTTATAAAAAAAAATTTATTTTTCTTTTTTTTAAAAAAACGTTACATCCACACTAGGATTTTTTCCTGTATGGTGGGAGCAGTTTACAAACATAAATTTCACAAGGACAAACATACATACCCGGAACAGTTATTTTTCGTGGTTTTATTTATAATTCAATATAACAAAATAATCTGAACACATTTTTTTTTGAAGATTAGTTTCTTTTAGTTATTTCCATAGCATAATGTCTTATGAGATTTTGCTATGAGGAAATGCGGCTTTAGAAACTATTCATATTTTGCAGGAGAGGGCCATAAGAGCTATTTACTACCTAAAACCGAGTCTCTTAGAGAAAATTTTACAGAAATAAAAAAATTAACTTTGGCCTCTCACAAAAACCACGTAGTAGTCGCGCTGCAACTATATTATGGTTGTAGCACGAATGGGTCGGCTCGACCGGGGAAGGACACACTCTCACAGAATACTAGCGTAAAATAACAGCATATTACTGCTGTGTTTCGTATGGTGAGTGTAGAGATCCGGAGACCCTTTTTACTGGAAATGAGGCATTCCATCTTAGTCCTCAGAGGTGACAACGCATCTGTATTTAGATTCTAAATCGAGGATAAAAGTAGATGTTTATGGGTCACAGCATCCACTTACTATCAGGTGGACTGTGTACTCGTTTGTCATCCTTATTCCATAAAAATAAAATACAAAAATTTGAGGAAACTAATGTATTAGATTTTCCCTTTCAATACATTTATGAAAATGTATTGTAATATATGTACGTATACAAAAAAAAAATAGTTTTACAAAAATAATAGTGATATTCATTCTGTAAATAATAGGACTGACACAACCTGGTAGTATCAATAACTCGACTCTACCAAGTCAGTTATTCATTCTTGGGGCGATGATATACTCTTTTACAATAAAATCTTAGAAAATATACAAAGCTTCACATGCTCAAAACTCAAAAAAATTATTGAACTAAGTTTGTATAGAAAGGGTTATTACAATATTAAGGAATTTATGAATGATAATAACCCCTGGGAAGAGTGATCGCTACCAAGCTATTTGTAATTTGTTTTGTGTTGTTAATTGTGTAACATATGATTGTAAGCTATTTTCTTAAAGTCGCTCAGCGGGAGTTTTTTTCTTGCTGGTTCTTCCCAGGACAGAAGTGTTTTTTTCTAACCAGTAGAAGATTAAACAAAAGAGTGACTCAAAAAGCATTATTTATAATCTATAAAAAAGTATGTTTTTTTGTCAACCATCATTTCAAACGGTTCTTACAAATATCATAATGCGTAGCTACGATTTGAAATAGACAGCAATCGTTATTTTAAGTTATAACCTATATTTCATCGACTTTCTGCATCGATATATACGCATTATGTTGTGATTATTTAATAAATTTACTCTATTGCAAACCATTCCTCCCTGCAAGAATACTATATAAATGTGCTTACTTATTGAAAATGCTATTTAAATTTCACAAGAAAAAGAAATAGTTGGGTCTATGATTAATCCTTTGATTTTTATTTATTTTAGGCAAAATGGGCGGTGAAGATGAGGAGGCTATCGCATCACAACAATTGTCACACCTCACACTGCCACCGTTTGCTTTCACATCCGCTACAATACCCACAAAGGTATTTCCAGAAACTGAAAAGACTACAACAACAACTACATCACCCACAAGATCTACGTCAGCACCAGTCCCAACCACCGATTCGAAGGGAGATGTTGATACAACGACAGCAATGTCTGAGATAAATGATCCTATGTTAAAGCCGAAACCAAGATTACTTGATTTAAGTGTGGATGAACTACAAAGTTTTGCAAATGCACTACATAATCAGACTAATCAAAATCATAAAAAAGTTATTGCAGATTTAAGTGAGGTATCTCTTGATGTAGATGAAGATGATGAACCACCAAGATTGATTACAAGTGAACCTAAGAATAAAGATATATCTGATAAGTTTTACAGTAACCTTCAAATTCCATTTAATCCCTTGCTTTCCATTGATAGATCGGATGAAATGGAAATGTGCAAAGAAAACGAAATAATGTACAAGGTCAGTAAGAATTTTCTATTTTTTTAAATAATCTCTAAATATGAAAAATCAATTGTTGACCATTAGTTTCGCTAAAACTCAAAAACGGCTCGACCAATTTTGATGATTTTTTTGTGTGTGTTTGAATGGTTGGGTGGTCAATGGTCCCTGGATGGTCAAAACGATTCACAATTGGACCCGATGGTGGCGCTGTTGTCGAGATTCAGAAATCACGCGTACGAAGCTGGGGCGGATTAGAGTTAATAATAAATTACAAAAGTGCACGATCAAAATTATTATTTCAATTAATTGTAATATGCAGCAATTTTTAATAATCGTTAACATGTTTTTCCACATGTTAGCTTAGAACTTTTGATCTTGATTTAGCTTATAAGATCATCATTTATAAAGTGTAGTAAAATTTTTCTTTCATTAAAAATTTAATTTAATAAGAAAACACTCGTAAATTACTAGCCTAAGAATAATTAATAATTATATTTATAAATTATGATTATGACACGAATAAAATCCAAATTGAATATAAATATTGTCAAGTTTCAACAATAAAAATAACATAATATGTATAATAATAAAAGATGAGACACGGTGGCCAGTGTTAAAGGAGACAAGCCACTTTCGCATGGCAAGATTCAAACTCAGGACTACATTGTCAGCAGTTGCACTTATAAGCACTAGAACATAGAATACTATAATACACAATTTATTACAGTATTCTATACACTAGACCGATGAGGCAATCAATCAGTATATATCAAGATACTTTATCTTTTAGTATGTGGATAAGGCAAACATTTAAATTTGCAATCAAAACTATATGGTATTTATCTCCAAAATATTTATAAATTAAGGTGGGCGAACACATTGATCGAGGATGTGAAGAAACATGTGAATGCACTGCTACCGGTGTGTTTGACTGTTCGCCGCGATGTAAACATCCATATATACGCCGAGGAAGAAGACTCAACGATCCGCTTTGTTTTGAGTCGCCTGTTGACGAATGCTGTTCTATTATCGCTTGTGCCTCAGGCACTGGGGGTAGGTTTTTGTTATATTTTTCTTTTATTACTTTTTAAAGTTGAATTTGATGTTACTAGTTAGACTCTTTTTGAAACAGATTATTATTATACTGTTAATGACTTACATTAATTTAATACAACGAACTACATGACGGCGATTTGATCTCATTAAACATAATTGGCACTACACTTTCAGAACCCAAGTCAACAACAATTGAAATGTGTAGATATGGAAACGAGACATATCCTGTTGGAGCGAAGTGGCATATCGGCTGTGAACAAACCTGTGTTTGTGAAGGCAACTCTATTGTAACTTGTAAACCTAGGTAAACAATTTTCGTACCCGAAAAGGAAGGAATATAAACACTACATTAGTATTATAAGTAATTCTTCTTCATTGTGCTACGATAACGTTTTTGTTTTACCATATTTTTTGAGACCTAATAACTATATCTGTAATATTTTAACTGATTTGTATCTGACAGGTGTAATCCACTGCCGCTATCTGAAAAATGTATCAATGTACAAGATCCCAACGACGAATGTTGTGAAGTCCAAGTGTGCGACGTATCTTCAGATGTGCACGAAGAACCGGAAAATATAACAATGTCTTCGTCATCGTCGTCTAGTACAACAACTTCGACAACATCCAGTAGTACCACGCCAGTAACATCTTCAACTTACAAATCTCCAATCACTTCGTCTACAACTTACAAATCTCCAAGCACTTCGTCTACAACTTACAAATCTCCAAGCACTTCAACTACAAACACGGTTTCGTCTTCTGAAATTACATCTGAGGTATTATGGATATATTAAAATTTGCTTAAAATTAATAGAAGACAAGCTGTTTTTGTCTGAATTTATCGCGTGAACATCAAAATTTTCCTAAACTAGATTTAATTGTAATGAAAGCTTGACGGTTTTTTGGGGATAGAGCGAAGTATTGCGGCGACGCTTTAGAATTATATTTCCGAAATTAAATGTACTTCTATAACCTCCAAATACACATTAGAGGTCCGGATTTTCTTAATTTTAATAATGTAAATGCAATTTATGTATTATAATAAAATATGTGCAATAAAAATAATGAAAGATTGCTGTTGTACAACTCTAATCAGCTAACAGCATAAACATCACAGAAAATAGACTATGAATGTACTATAAGTCTTTCATCTAATCATCGTAACAATAGTTTTGTTTGAATACATTCAAATATATATAGAAAGTTATAAAATTGTATATTATGAGTTCAATGCGAGAAGATCTTTACAATCATATTTAAAACAGCTTTAAAAAAGTTTTATTATATAAAAAAATTCGTAACGTCGCAATTGTAAGTATACTCGCGAATAATTGATATTGAATTTTTTGTGGATGGAATACATTGGGGTTCAAAAAAATCATATGGATTTAAGTCGTTAACGAAAACACGGATTTATAATGTACTTTGTAAATAGGATCATGGATGAAAACAAATATTAACGTTTATTTTTTATCTTTTGACAGACGGGAAGATCGATAGATGACAAATATGATTCATTTAGACCAACAATAAGATCATTCGATTTGTCTGAACCCATTGGGTCAGTAAAAGTGTTACAGAACAATAGTGTACAAGTGAATTTAATGCATATGAACAATAGTGAAGAACCGATTCACTTGTTACTAAGCAGTGATGGAGGCCGTACGTTCGAAGATGTAGAACTGAAATATACTAATCTGATTCTCAATCTTGAAGGCGGGAAAGATTACATATTGAAAACAAAAGAAACTGGAACGAAATTCAATTTTACTATAACTGCGACAGATGCTGCAACAAATGAGGTTCTGTTGGAGGAAGCAGCGAGCCCGATAAAAATAGGATGCCATCAAGATGGAAAGTTCTATGCTGTTGGTTTGTAAACATAATTTAACTTTATTTTTATGTTCGATATTCAATTACATTAAAACAAATTCGTTATTAAAATTTATAACAAGTTATAAAAATAATATAGTTTTTGGAGTTTACTTCTTAAGAATAAATAGTTAACAAAAAGTAAAGCCGTTATGGTTTGCTTCTATGCAACATACTCGCGCATCTCATAGCGCAAAATTTATAATTACTATAAGTCATACATTTTTATGTTTTTTTTTATAGGAACAAACTAGCGCACAGTCCACCTGATGGTAAGTGGTTGCTGCGGCCGATGGACATCTACATCTATCCTCGATTACAAATCAAAATGCAGATGCGTTGTCATCCGTGAGGACTAAGATGGAATGCCTCGTTTCCAGTAAAAATGGTCTCCGGTTCTCTACACTACCCATACGAAACACAGCAGCAGCATTAAGCTACTATTTTACGCTGGTATTCTGTGAGTGTAATATTTTTTTTTCATATAGTTTATCAAATCAATATAATTAAATATATCCTTTGCCTTATTGCCTATATGCCTTTGCATATTGCTATCTCAATCTCGAAGTATAAAAATCTATTTCTGTACATTAGCCTCGCAAAAACTCGAAAATAGCATGACCAATTTTGAAGAATTTTTTCGTGTGTATTTCAGTGGGTCCTTAAATGAGTTCCAGAAATCACCTGTGTATAGCTTAGCGGATTGCTAGTTTATACTTTAAGACATCGTTTTTGAGAAGTAAACTCCAGTCACACGTCGCTGACACAATTTTTTTTGATGTCCGTAATATAATGTATATCTAACTGTCAGTGAGGAATCAACTTGAACTTATTAATTCGACTTCATTATCTATTTAAACAAAAGTATAACGATGACCATTTAAAAATCGTAGATTAGTAAACAATGAATTATTTTACTTTTAAAGCAGTCCAATATAAATTTCAGCTAGATCAGATAATGTCAATTAATTTTATAGGTTTATATTTCGACGATATACGAATATGTTTGGCAGCGTAGCTTTATAGACGAATAGGTAATTTCACAACTGCTTTTGTTTGTTAGCTTATTGATCAAAAGCAAAAGAAACAGATATCATTGTTATAAAAATATTTTTAGATATCTGTTTATTTTAATAATTTTTTTAATAAAAATTCAAAAGTCTAAAATCTGTGTTAAAATATAATAATAATAATGTCCTCTAGATCCAGGCCGAATTTTGGCCACGGTGGCCTGCCTCAACGGAGGCTAGCCAATGGTGCAGGACATAATTATAGTGCCCAAGTGCATGCGCAAGCACAGGTGCACTCTCTATTCCCTCGTTCTCATAATCCGATGGGACGGTAAAGCGACACGACCGGAGAGAGTTCAGGTGCAGGGCCAACGGCTTTACGTGCTTTCCGAGGCACGGGGGTGAGACACCGCCAACTTCCAGACTCCGGGCAACTATTGAGAATTTCTTGACGGAAAAACTCTATAATTAATTTTTGGCCCGACCCGGGATTCGAACCCAGGACGTCATGATCAGCAGTCGTACTACTACAACCACTAGACCAACGAGGCAGTGCTAAAATATATTGTTCAAAATGTAAAATTGTGTTACTCTGTTTAGTTGTTTTTACTTTTTTCTAAAAGTTATTTTCTTATATTTTTTGAGTGGATTGAGAAACATCGCAAACTAGACATTGGGAAGTTCAAGAACGAAAGATACAAATGAACTAGTTCCCTTGCTATGATTCTATGTATCTCTCGCTCTCAAAATGTATTAGTGAATCCGAGTGTATCTCCGAATCATTTGGTCGGCATTCGATGTTGATTCGATGAAATATGGATACTAAAGACATGTACAAGAAAGATGAAGGGTTTATTAAAACAGTGTCGGTAGAGATTGTACATACTAGATCAACTAATTATATGAATGATACATATCTTGTGATCGAAAATGTATAAATCTTTCTTATTCATTTTAATGATGTGTTTTGCGTACTACGTAATGAGAATAAAATTTATACGAGACGAACTTTGAAGGGAACCTATCGTCATGTATTAAGAAATAATAATTGACATCGGTTCACATTAGACGAAGATATCGCGTAATATACAGTCAAATTGATGACCTCTTCCTGTTTTGAAGTCAGCTAAAAATATTTCAAAACGTTGTTAAAATTAGGCGAAGAGTTCCACATCGGCTGTACAGAGCTATGTGAATGTACGGGTCAAGAAACTCGGGAGTGCGCTGCATTGGTGTGCCCTTCTCACGTGGGATTGGAACTGGTGTCAAAGGGGTGTGTCCGGTGGGCCACTAGTCCTCCGGCCCAGCCACCTAACTGCTGCCCAAGAAGTGCGAGGTGCTTAAGTGACGGGACTTGTCATTACAAGGGCCTTGCGTAAGTCTATAAATGTTATTTTTAATATTTTTTCTTTAGTCATCGCTCTTGTTAAATACCTTGTGTACATATTTGGAATCTGATTACCACTATTTATGTAAATGAAACAAAATAGCTTTGATATTTATAAAAATAATTAATTAAAGAATTACTTTAATAGAATTTAAGGTCACGGGGGACTGAGATGATTGACGTCCCGATGTCAAAGTTAACCCAGAGTACTTTTAGCTTTTTAATTATTAATTTTGGTCCGATCTTCGCTGAATATAAAACGCTTGGGTTTAGATTAAATTTACCCGTAATCATGGGTGCTGCAAAGCACCGGAAATGACAGGAATTAAAAATAAGTAAAATTAAAGGCCAATAAATCCAAAAAAATCGTTTCACTCAATGTTCGCGTAAATAAAAGAAATCATTAGAATAACTAATAGTTAGACTGAAATTACTTATATGAGATAAATATGGGAATTTTTTCACACAGACAGAAAGAATACGATTTATATCAGAGCTGTTTTATGGAGTTCCTAAAAGCCTGGTGTAAATATTTTTTTTAACGTTGGCTCGGACCTTAATTTGGACCATCTAAACACACATTACAATAAAACCACGTTGTCAAACTATTTCAGAGTACCGAATTGGAGTGAAGTACCGATTGAGCTCACTGGTTGTGAACAACGCTGCTTCTGCGAAAATGGTGAACTGGATTGTCAAGACGTCTGCTCACCATTACCGGCGTTGCCTCCACAGTCACTCCGGTGTCCTCCAAATCATCGGCCAGCTGCTGTCAACATATCGGATGAGGATTGCTGCAAGCAATGGGGTTGTTTGCCCAATGGTAAGATTTTCTTTTATTTATCTTTGAAGAGAATACTAAAATTAATCACTATGACATGCTTTTAGTTACAAATCCTCAGTTTTGAGGCTATTAGATAGGGAACGATTGGGCTGGCATAAATCTTAAGATGCCTATCATTTAAAACTTTATGTTTATAATTAAAATTACGACTTTTGTTTTTTATCAAATTATTTTTTCTGGGACTTTTATTTATTTGATGCAATGATTTAAATTACTTGCATTTTAATGTTATTAGTTAATTATTTTATTAAGTTTATTAGACCACCGCCATATTTATAACTTGACTCTTAGTCTGACGAACAATCGATGTATACATATTTTAATACCCGGTGTATTATAGATATGAAAGTTCTCAAATTATGACAATTGAGGAAGTGTGGAGCGGCCCGCCACTATGTGAAATGACAACCTGGTAAGACATGCAAGACTTCGATGGATGAAGGTGGCTTAGGACCGTGGTGTGTGGCATCCTTTGGGGGAGGCCTTTGTTCAGCAGAGGATTTGTGAAGGGTTGTTATGATGATGATTAAGTGACAATTGTCTTGATGAGAAATAAAGTTCTTTGAACCGGTATAAAGCAATAATATAATAATATCGTATCGTATAATATCGCTCGTAGCTTAGCAGTTCCTATGGAATAAACATTGGTTCTGGGACGAAATGTACTTTAAATCTGTTTTTATATCAATATCGCAGCTATTTTCAAAAAATCTATATAAACAATTGACTTATATATTACTTCCTTTTGAAATCATTGATATAAACCATATATAAAACACACATGAAATAATAATACTTCGATACTTCAAAACATTTGTGTTAATAACAAAAAATATTTAAAGGTCTTTTTAAATTTTACATTATAATTATCAACTAAATTTAGTTCACAGTTGAATTTGTCAATGACTGCAGAAATATTACATTATTATAGATGCAACATGGGTCCTGCACTGGAGAAAGACTACGGTTTCACATTATATATTGTATTGTAAAATACCCTAATATAATATTGCTATATTGTTTATAGTTAGTGACGAGAATCCTATTTCAAGTAACACGACGTCCTACCGAGGATCTCAAGGGTGACATAATGACATTGCATCTCCATTTTGATTCTTTATCCAGTTAGGTACATATGTAAGGGTCAGCTTCAGGTGGAAAACAGCTCAATATTTTTATTACTCTGTGAGATAAACTGAGGGCTCTAAGCCATTAAAAAAGGACAAAAGATGTAAAATAACGTATAGTAGTATAGACTATTAACGATTTCGTTAATTTGTACGAGTATACTTTAGTATTTAGTTTGCTTTTAATACGATAATCTAAAGTATTTGAAGCTTTAATATTTTTAGTTTTAATTATTAGTGCACCACATTTTTTTCATAATGCATACGTATTTCATTGCATGGTCGCTGATCACAGTTCATTCATCACCACATTATTGCTTGCAGCCGGATACGAGAATGGATCCAAATATCATTCGCATGTTTTACCATCGCATGACGAAACGCATCTGCTCAATTTTGTGACGCCCATTGCACCTGTTTTACTGACATTTACTACATCAGTGCTGCCAACACCGCTTGCCCCGACAGAGACCACAGACTTTTTTAGACATTTAAGCCCAGTCAAGACTAGACCTAAGACAAGCAAACCTGTGTCGATTCCACGAGCACCAGGTCCCATAATCAGTGACACAGAACATCGTTACCTACAAGAGTCACAAGAACACACCAAGGATGATAACATGACCGGCTATAATTCAAATGACTTTGACCATAGACCTTTTAAATTGCTCCAACCAATACCTTCAGTAACAAGCGTTAATGTTAATTGGGAAACGTTACAGAAACCTTCTAAATCTGTGCCTGTACCTGTAGCACCGGTTCCAATTCAAAATCAACCAACCCATATAAATTTTGTTATTCCCGATAGCAAAATGCAAGAATTGATTCAACAGTCTAAGAATAATAATATGTTGGAATCAAAATCTCTTACCGCGCATGATGCTTTTATAAAACAAATGCACGAATCTGTTAGTAAAGTCCCTCTTTTACAATCACATAATTTAAATTATTTTTTACCGGCCCATGATAAGAAATTTCCAAGTCACGTACCATTTGGTTTTGGCGAAACTAAAACCACAACCCAAAGAGCAAAACCTGATAAAGATTTTTTTGAACCATTGCGTAACCAATCCTCAGATTATTATAGAAAGTATCCTACTCCTTTAACGTATAAAAATGGTCGTCATGACCACACCGTTCACGGATCACATGGAAAGCACGTCACTATTCTAAGAACCAAAGATTTGAAACCTGTCCGACCTCCAGATGCCGGAAAAAATAATAAATCCTGGCCGCAATCTAATGTGCATGTACTGACTAAAGCACCGAACCCATATGAGACCGTTTTATTTCGAGTTTTGCCCGAAGCTAAAACAGATATGCAAAAAGTCCCTAGCAATACTGCTAAACTTCCAAAGGTTTCAGATAAAAGTTATTCAACACTAGACCTGGAACATATGCTATCCCAAATGGAAGTGGAATCGGAAGTGAATAGAAATCTTGGACGATCAGCTGATAAAGACTTAGGCGCACAATCGGCAGGTCAGTGACCTTGCCTAGATTTAGTTTTTGTGTATGTAGTTTGAGTAAAAGACTTTTGACAAACGACTGACTTCAAGCACGTGAGAAACTGACTTCTTACTTTTAATTCACATGTAGTTAGAAAACCTATATCATTTTAAGGACAATTTATAATCCTACATTAGTATTTGCACCATAATAGTTCCTCTTTATTTTACATCTACGTTTTAAGACTTTTGTTATATCACTAAAAGCACTTATGTATATTATTCTCGAAGTAACATTCATAACTATTTTATTAACATTAAATCTAAGTAATGAAACTTTTGTGGTTTGGGCATGTTTCTTCTTGTTTGGAATGTTATATTCCAAACGTATATATATTTTAATATCTGATCTTATTAATAATTTCATATTTTTCAGGTCCATTAGGCCAACCAGGTTTCCCATCTAAATTACCTCGTCCTCAAGAGCCTTTCTTGCCAACTGCTATTCCAGACACCCATTATCCTCAAGAAGATATTCAAGACTACGATCAAAATAATATTCATCCACCTTTGAATTTAAATCCTACCTATACTGGATTACCACCTGGTTTACCGTTGCAGCCTGCTTATGGTGATGACAATAAGAAACTAACGGTTATATTATTGCAAGCCGATTCCCCAACAAGTATTAAAATGATCTTTAGTTTACCGCCAGTGTTGGTTGGATTGCGGGGAAGTGTCGATCTACGATACACGGATACAGCGTAAGTTTTATATTTTAGGTCATTAATAATTATATATATAATTTCTCACATACATATTAATACAATAAAATAATTTATTTATTAAGTACATAATCTACTTCTGAAAAGCCGTGGCAGCATAGGGATTCTCTTACTTGCACCCGAGTTCGTCAATTTTAAGTACCGATTTACTATGTGCTCGGTGTTGAAAAAAAATATCGTAAGAAAACCCAGATGTCTACAAATAAAACATTTCAAGGATATGTGAAGTTAACTAATACGCACTAGAGCAGTAATGGAAACAATTATTAACTGCCAGATCATAAGGTACCTTAAGGATCACCAGCTGATTAGTGATCGTCCGTACGGTTTCCGTCGGGGTCGCTCATCTGATAATATTCTGGGTTACCTAGCTCACATATGGGCGGAGGCAGTAGAGTCCAAGGGGAGGCGTTGGCTGTTAGATTGGACATAGCGAAGGCTTTCGATCGGGTTGGGCACAAAGCCATTAATCAGGAAGCATCTAAAGAAGCTTCCTGCTTATGGGCTTCCCTAGAAATTGTGCAATAGGATCACCAGTTCTTTTGCAGATCGGAGCATCAAGGTCGTAGTAGACGTTGCATGTCGTCCGATTACAAGCCTATTAACGCTGGTGTTATACAAGGCTGCGTGCTTTCACCAACGCTGTTTCTTCTTCATATCAACGATATGTTGCAAAGCGGTAATATTCATTGGTATGTCGATGACAGCACTGGCGATGCTTTATACACCGGCCGTGCCAGTATTTCTCGGGAAAACGTCGCGGAACAACCTTGTGTCTTAAGTCGAGACATTCTTGAACAAAGTCTCAGACCGGGGGCGACTAAATCTAGTCCAGTTCAATCCTCAGAAGACACAAGTTTGTGTGTTCACCGCCAAAAAGAACCCATTTGTTGTATCTCCTCAGTTTCAGGGCTTTCCTCTCGGTGCTTTAGCCAGTATCGGAATCTTCGGCATCGACATATCGAGTGACATGCAGTTTCGTTGTCACGAGAGAAGGCCAAATTGGTCTCAAAAAAGCTTGGTGTGCTCAGCAGAGAGTTTCCAGGGCAGAGCAGTTCAAATCGTCGGCGACCGAGTTTTTTATGATCGGCTTGACTCGCTGAAACTGCGGAGAGATGTTGCGTTTAAGACTAATTTCAGTCGCTCAATTTCACAATCGCACCTCACGACAAAACTCGCAATACCATCCATACCATCTGGATGATTGGAGGTTCACCACTGTGCGGTTTAGAAGAAGTTGTCTTCCTCGCACAATTTCCTTGTGGAATCGACTCCCACCAGCGATTTTTCCGAACAGATGGGACTTAGGGACCTTCAAGAAAAGAGCCTACTCTCTTTGAAAAGGCAGGCAATGCATCTTCGTTTCCCTGGTGTGGTGTTGGAGTTGTTTATGGGCAGCGGTAGTCACTTACCACTAGGTAAGCTACATGCTCGTTTGCCACCATTCCTGTACAAAAAGCAGCATGGCAGACTAGTCTTTCAACTTTACGTTGAAATATTAAAAACACCATTGTAATATTGTTTTCTGTCTTTCGTTGACAGGGATGAAGATATCTCACATTGGTACTCTCAAATTTTCGCTCCAGCTGATGAGATCCTCGGCACTCAGAGGTTGGACTTCCGGCTAACAGGCTTGAAACCTTCAACTACGTACAAAATACGTGGAAAATTGTACTTACACAATTTACCAGTGGAGCCAGAAAGCGACGTGTTTACTGTTCGCACTCTAGATTTACCAACAGTAAGTTTTTAATAATATTTTTTTATTAATTACAGCTTATCCACTGCTGAACAAGGACATCCCCATAGATTGTCCCATAAGGTGGATATTTGCCATTGTTACTCTACTCTTGGGACAGGTTAGCAACCGCAGTTTTATTTACTAATTGCTATTAGGAAGACACTGCCTGCCGTTCACCTCCTCTTTTGTTTTCCTCTGTCGCCTGTTACGATACCCACGAGACGATATGGGGTAGAGGATATTCTTACACTGCCTATCTACATGATAATAATAATAAAGATTGATTAAAGCTACTTTTACGGATTTTTTCGCGTTTAATTTAGATGATTTTTATTTCCGGACGTTTCGGGTGCTTTCCAGCACCCATGGTCACGGGGGATTGAGGTGACTGATGCCCCGATGTTAATGTTAACTCGAAGTACCTCAGCTTTTTAATTATTATTTATTGTCCGATATACGCAGAATGAACTTACCGTGTCTTAAAGTCTTGTAGTGGTATGCTTGGGTTTAGTTTTAATTTTATTGATTACAGGGTCCCAAGTAGGTGGTAGCACCCAGCCTCCTTCTCTAGTGAAGTTAGGATGTTTTTAATCTTAGTAGCCTTACGTATCATCCTTGGTAGGATTCGATGTTCTTTCGCGAGGATTTGTGGTCTATCAAATCTGATGGAATGATTGGGGCCATCTAGGATATGATTACAAACTGCATAAATAAATCAATGTGTAGTGTTCGCTGTAATATAAGGAATCAATAATAAAGATGCGTGTGGTGGTGGCGAATTGCTTATCCATCACCTCATTTTCTCTTGTGAGTCTCGTAAGAGGCAACTATGGAAAATGGTAAATATATCGCATGGATTCCAATAGATGGCGGTGTTCTATTTACGCCGAACGTAAAGTACTTATTCCTAACACAAGCATTTTAACCCTACCAAGAGTGTTTAAAGTGAGTTAAAAGCATTGCTAGTTTTTTTTTTAAACTAAGTGTAACATTAATTAGATCTCATGGTTTCCATTCATGTATTGACTTTCCCGAAAAATACCGGAGACGGTAATTTAGGCATTATTACAGCGTCAAAAGTGCGAGACGCCTGGTGCAGCAAGTGTCAATCTGTCTGCCAGGATAGGTTGACAAACGAGCACACAGTCCACCTGATGGTAAGTGGTTGCTGCGGCCCATAGACATCTACATCTATCCTTGATTACAGATCAAAATGCAGATGCGTTATCACCCGTAAGGACTACGATGGAATGCATCGTTTCTATTAAAAAGGGTCTCCGGTTCTCTATACTCACCATATGAAACACAGCAGCATTAACCTACTATTTTACGCTGGTATTCTGTGAGAGTGTGGTTCTTCCCCGGTCGAGCCGACCCATTCGTGCTACAACTATACTTCTGTTATAACTGCAGCATAACTCTACCACGTATGAATATTACTTATTTTGGTGCAATTCGTCTTTAATAGTTAAACATTTACTCCTATGATTTTTTGACAGAAAAATGATAAATTGTCATTAGATAATTCAGCTGGCTAGCGGAGTGACTAAGCTTCGGGCTGTGGTGCTGTGGGACCGTTAGTATCTCTAACAGAACATCGATTGGAATATCCTATTAAATATTGTTCGTCTTCTTTAATTCATGTGTGATATTTGTAAAAGGCCTCCAAGTTAAAGAAAATATTACAAAAAAATAATACAAGTCAATAAATCATACAAGTTCATCTAAGCTAACGCTATCATATAATGTGTATTCCAGGTACCACCAGTAGAAGAGAAGCGGCGCGAAATCGATAGCAGATTGGCAGTTGTGGATGTAAACGACACCACAGCTCACATCAGTTGGAGGCACTTTAACGAAGACGAACTACAGTTTATTGATGGCATTCAAGTGCGGTACGTAGCAGAATGTTCTTGATAACTGCTCAAAATAATTAAAAACTACGGTCCAAATCAAATCTAATCTATAAAGGGAAGATTCCTTAAAAATGGAAGGCTTATATTCAGTATTTAATTTTATAGGCTGTAATGGATGAAGTACGTGTAATGGATACTTAGTTTACATGCATTTAAATTGGATAATTAGCAGTATGAGGACACTTCTCTTCAGCTCGTCCTGTAACAGTCCGCAGTCCGTGTCTTTTATCATTTGTTTATCGTTAGAATATGACTATATACTGATAGATGTATGTAAGAATATGACCTTGTTTTAGAATAGAATCAGGTGTTACTTTGCGGTATATAATAAAATAAAATGATTTGTCTTACCTATTTTGAAGAGCACCTCCCGCCCTCCCTCAATTGCGTGCAGTAATCCCGTTACCATAAATCACAGCACACAGCCTTTTTTTCCTCATGCTACCCGGCTGCTCTAGAATAGGCACTGCTCTAGGAGAGGTAAGAGGCTGGTTATACCTACCTATTTGTCGGACACTTAACGCGATACAAACTCTACAAGATACCTTTTTGTCTGAACTCGGCAAGAGGTTACTCGTCGCTGCATTGTAAACTTAGCGTGTTAAAAATTCTTTGTATATTGTTTTCAGGTATCGACCTGTGGGCACACCTATTTATAGTATGACGGAGCTACTTCATCACAGTCGCTCTTTGGCTGAACTTATAGAGTTGCGCCCCGGAGTACAGTATGAAGCATCATTGGTGTTGATTCCTCCACCACGGGCTGTGACAGAACTATTCGATCCTTCAAATGTTGTGTTTACCACTTCTCCATATGTTGGTAAGTCATTAAAGTATTACGGCCATAGTAAGAAAAAAGGAGATCTCCCGCCAGGCAGGGTCATCAGCCCGGGGAGCGGTCCTACGCTGTGGTAGTACAGAGATACTATATATATATAGAGTACTTCGGAACTTTGATAGCGTGATTTAGGCTTCGGTGCGATTCGTTTGTGACGCTTGTGAGATTAAAACAGTTTGCAGATTTTTAACACTTTATTTAAAAAATCCTAACTATGTTTATTGCAAAACGTGGCTTATTGAGAGTCTTGGGCTTAAAGAAGAGTCTCGTCACGAAATAAGTACTTTAGCCGCGGTGCCATATTCGCGAAATTTGACATTTGCTGTCAAACTCCATATTTAAAATTTTAGTTCACATATTCTCCACGGGACTTCCTTATTGAAACAGACGCCAGCATAAACCTGAGACTAACTATAAACTACTTTTTGCAATAAAGCGGATAGAGTTTTGATATTCCAACCAATTAGCTCTGACCCAAGATATGACTGACCTTAATATCCAAGAGATATATTCTCCCAACGCCAAGTCACGAGAGTACGTGACTTAGTGTTAGGGTATTATATCATTCATCATTCAACAAGCATTATGAGATTCAGCCGTATGTATATAATATGTATGTATGAATGTGTTGAAATTTTATCATTCGTTCACCCATTTCCAGATGTATAGTCAAGATCTATGATCCAATAGGTAGTCCTGTAGTCAAGTTGTTGACAAATTCTATATTTGTGGACCAAACTGACCTATATTCGTTATATAATATATTAGTTGAAAACGAAAAAAGAAAATCATAAACACTGTACCACATGACATTTTTTACAGCATATATTTTTTAAAAAAGTTACGGTGAACGCCTTCATGAATACCGCACGTGCAACAGCTTTTAGCTGCTAGTATGATCTGTTAATAATAATAATAAATAATCCTCCTCTTTGATATCACCCGCATAGTCTGCCGGTTTCTTTCCCTTTCCCACTAACACTCGGTCTTTTGGTCTCACCTGCCGAGGGCTTCCATCTAGTTGGGTTTTTATACATTTATATATTTAAATTCGTTTGATGTATATTTATCATCCTATTTTATATATTCATGCAGACAAATTAGATGACAAAAACACATTTACACCATAATAACAAATAATTAAGAAGTATTTCGCGCGCGTCAAAATCGTGTCTAAAATTAGGTAAACAATTTCGTCACAGATGCGTACAACTGATTGCTGTAAGTGGAGGTGCACAATTATTTTTCGTGGCTTTATTTATAATTCAATGTAACAAAATAATCTGAAGACATTTTTTACGCGACAGTCACGCTGCAACTATATTATGGCTGTAGCTCGAATGGCCGACCCATTCGAGCTACAGCCATAATATAGTATACTCGATCGATACACACACACACACACACACATATATATATCAATTTATTCATTGATTAAACCACTTTTACGCATTTAATCGCGTTTAATATATTTGAATTTTAATTCTCTGATGATGTTTTCCAGCACCAATGGTCATGGGGGCTGAGATGACTGACGTCCCGATGTTATTGTTAACCCGGAGTATCTTTAGCATACTAAAAATAAAATAAATTAAACACGATAAAACCTGTAAAAGTAGTTTTAGTCAATGTGTAGTGTTCGCGTAAATAAAGGAAATCATTAACAATTCACAGACCCGTACAACTGGTCGGTGACGGTGGAGGTGCACGCGGTGGGCTCGGAGGCGGCGGAGCTGACGTGGCACGGCGTGCCGGTGCCGGCGGAGCGGTGGGTGCGCGTGTACCGCGCGGCGCACGCGTGCGGCGCCTCCCGGAGGGAGCACGATGCGTTCCGCCTGGCCGCGCGCGACCTGCCGCCCACTGTCACGCTTACCGGCCTCCAGCCCAACTCCAAGTGAGTCACTAGAATTTTGTATTTAGAATTTTTTTTGGTTAAAATACTGGCAATGCTATTGACATTACTAATGGTAAACTTAAAAATGCTTGTATTAGGAGTAGTAGTCGGAATGCAGATTCAAACCTACGATCTTTTGAGTTCGCGGTCTGTACTCTGCCATTAGGCTACTGTGTTCTTTATTGGATGAATTTATCGGATGTTGATTAGCAAAAAATATTAGCTCATAGTAAGCTAAATTAAAAAAAATGTATGTTTGAAGTTTGGAATTGAATCGATATTCAAATAATCGGCTTGCTTCGATTATTGAATAATTGTTATGTTTTTTAATTATATACGATTTTCGTTGGAAATGATTTTACTACATGAAATATTGTAAGTGATATTGTAATATGTAACCACTAACATAGAAACTACTTACTACTTGGAATAATTTGATATCAGATAAATAATGCTTTTTACCAGTATCGCTTATGATTCTTGAAAAACGAGCACACAGTCCAATTGATGGTATGTGGATGATGCTGTGGCTTATAGACACTTACATATATTCTCTACTAAAAATCAAAATGCAAATGTTGGAACTTCTGAGAACTGAGATGGAATGCCTCGTTTCCAGTAAAAAAGGTCTCCGGTTCTCTACACTCACCATACGAAATACAGGAGCATTAAACTGCTATTTTACGATGGTATATTCTGTGAGAGCGAGGTCGTACTTTGATCGAGCCGACTCATCGTGCTACAACTATAATATAGCTGCAGCGAGGCATTTTAACGTATAAAATAGTATCCGTTATCCATTCATGGCAGCCTATAAAAGTCCACTGCTGTACATAGGCTCCCCTAGATTGCCTCACGGGGGCATTATGTCAAGTGCCACACTTGGCAGGCATGTTATTATTAAGTTTGCAATTGTATAGCCGTTAAGTTACCGTCTATATTGCACAACATCGTGCAATACTTAGCCTATAATCTCAATGTTGCTTCACGTTCCTGAATAAAATCGCATAACTACGAGTATACAAATGAAGTAACATTTTCGGAACTTGGCAAGAACTTGCAAGGCGTTGCACAATTATTCTCAGCAAGATGCAATTTTTATAACCCATTTACAAGCCCTTTAGGATAAGCACTGTAAGCAACGTTATATACATTGTACTATGTACCATATAAATATACAAATTCGTAGAATTTACAAATTCGTTATTCTAGAAAATATACTGACGGTTCTGATGCGCAGTGGGCCAAGCATTTGCCTCTAACTCTAATACTAGTAGTCTTAGAACTAGTATATGACCTACAAATAATTGTTTCAGGTTTAGGGCTGAGACTAATAAATTCATAGTGCAAACAACTTATTAATTTAATTTGACAGAGCTTTGAAAAGATTTGCTATGTCGTTGCAGCGTAAGAAAATCAACTACTAGCGTCATTTCGTGGGTGGATGATAATAACTCAAAATAATAAAAACTGCGGCTGTCAACTTTTATACTAAATGTGACTATGGCAAAAATCCCTCCTGCTGAGGCAATCTACGAGCCTTTATTCAGAATTTAAATGAAAATAAGTTTTAAGAATTTTATCGCGTATATTAGTTTATTTTACGTATTCCCGATGTTTCGAGTACTTTTCAGCACCCGGGAGGACTGAGGTGTTCGACGTCCCAATGTCATAGTTAAACACGGATCTTCAGATTAGCCAATCTGTTATCCGAACTGCTTAGATCTGATCAAAAATAAAAAAATATATATATATACGGGAATATAAAATAAGTTAAGCGTAAAATATAGCTTCATTTAAATGTGTAGTTTTAGCGTAAACATAAGAAATAACTACGATCAGAAGTAAGCTTTTGATAGGCCGTAATTAATGGCAAATGAATGAATTAAAAAAATACGTGTGGCACTCGGGAACTGCCGCGAGAAATCTAATGTATAGCATTTTTATCAACTTATGCAATTATAATTATTTATATATAATTTTTTATTATGCAGTAACTTTTTTCTTTGTTTTTTTTTTTTATTTGATATTAATTCAAATTTTTCTTTGATATTAATTCAAGTTACACTTTTTGAGCGTGGTGACCGATAAGAAAACAATTTTTTTATTGAATAAATGAGAAGTTAGTATTGTTCAAAATATTTTTATTATCTTATATATATGTATAATGATAAATAAGATAATAATAATATATATAATATAATGATAAAAATTCCTGAATAACCTATATAATACATGTAGGTTATTCAGGAATTTTTATCACTGAAACTATAGGTTTATGGTAATTAACGAGTTCTTCCGACATACGATAATTTTCTATAAAGTCTGTGTTTATTAAATACTCTAAATTCACGAAAGTTGCTAGCATGACGACGACTCATATAAATCCAAAGAATATGCTTCTTGCAATAAACTATATTATTGTTTAAAATATTTTTATTATCTTACAATATATGCAACTAGTCTACACGAATACGTCTAGCCGCACGCACACAAATACTGTGAAGTCCGCCGAACTGAAACGACGTTAGACGATGTTAGGTTTTGGGGTCTTAGCTTTATTTTCGTTACGGAATTTCTTGATCGCCGCGATCAAAGCCCGCGATAAAAGCTATGCAACAGCTTCAAAAGATGTCTTTGTTAATTTATAGTTAATTTATATTTATAAATTATTTTCTGTTTTAGGTGCCGAGTGTGGCTTGAGCTCTTCCTAACAAACGGAAAAGTTAAAACAAGTAATGTTGTGGAAATTCATACCAAACCGGAAGATTCGCATGAGCCCATAGACAGTAAGTTTAACTAATTTTTTTCAATTACTAATATCGGTTGACCATGTAGTGTCTGAGTAAGAATACCTGCTACCTCATATCCTCCCGTGGATGTCGTAAGTAGCGACAGAAGGAAATAAACCAGGAGATCAGCAAAACTCTTTCTTACAGTACGTTTGCACTGAGAAACATCCAATACGTAATGTTTTGTTAATGGTGGCGTTTGCACTTACAAAAACTGTGTAAAATTTTCAACAGATATTCAAACTTGTCTTTCAATATGACAATATTTCTACAAATTTGTTTTCAAACTTTTTGTTTCTGTAGTTTTAAAAATAATATAGTTAAAACATTTAATGTACAATAAACTGTCAAACATGTTTCACTACAACATGTTCCTTGACTATGCAAATGGTTTTTGATACATTGACAGAAAACAGTGTTTAAAACATGTTTTTTTTTGTGAAAATCGCGTCAGTGCAAACTCACGGTTATAAAAACTGCAGTTTCTAATAAATCTGTCGAGCGTGGAAACTATAGCAAATACCCCCTGAATCTATGCTCAGCAGTGGGCCTTGATAGACTGTAATGAAGGAATTAATAAAGGAACATAATATGTTATTAAATATATACCTATGTAATATAGATGTGTATTAAATACATATTAACAGAGAATAATATTCATTAAATAATGTAATAACAGAACAGTATGGTTTGCAAGAAGAGGTGGTATCCAGGATTAAAAAAGGAATGCAAAATGAAACCACTGAATGGTTTGGTCATGTAGAAAGAATGAGTGAGGAAAGAGTGACAAAGCAGGAAGTGAACGGAAGAGTCAGAAAGGGACGGGAGGGAAGGGACGTCCTAGGCGAAATTTTATCGATCAAATTGGTGATATATTGAAAATGGGCTAAATTAAGAGTATCCTCAACCGACGAGCATATATACGTAGGGATATGGATGTGGAGGACGCGAGAGAGGTGTCTCAGGATCGTGCAAAATGGAATTCTGTAGTCTCTGCCTGCCTTTGTGGGTGACAGGCGTGATTGTTTTATAGTAACAGAGAGCAACGTTAAAGGCGCTCGAAATCTAGTACTGTGATAAAACTGCTAACTAAACGCGGCGCTGCTGAGAATCCTGTCAATAATGTATTCCATTACCACGTCCAGTAATTGTCTGTAGAGGGGTGATAGTCGTCACGATTGGCAAGCGGGTTCATGGCCACAGTATCAGGCGTATCACGACTTTTGTTCTGTAGTCCAACGCCGTTTCTAATTTATTAGATACGCCTGACGTAAGTCTTTATTTATTTTTATTTACTTATAGGATAAGGTGACAAACGAGCACACAGGCCACCTGATGGTAAGTGGTTGCTGTGGCACGTAGACATCTACATCTTCCTCGATTACGAATCAAAATGCAGATGCGTTGTCACCCGTGAGGACTGAGATGGAATGCCTCGTTTCCACGTTTATACGTGGTAGAGTCACGTTGCAACTATATTATGGTTGTAGCACGAATAGGTCGGCTCTACCGGGGAAGGACCACGTTCTCACAGAATACCAGCGTAAAATAACAGTTTTATACTGCTACTTTTAACTGCTGTTTCATGTGATGAGTGTGGAGACCCGGATCTTTCTTACTAGAAACGAGGCATTCCATCTTAGTCCTCAAGGGTGACAACGCATTCGTGTTTTGATTCTTAATCAAGTATAAATGTAAATGTATATGGGCCATCATCTACTAACCATCAGGTGAACTTTATCCTCGTTTGTAACCCTTATTCTATAAAAAAAGCAATATAGTTACACCGCCATCTATCGCAAGTCATAAGCAACATAATCTAATTTATTCTTACTGTCGTCTCTTAGGCATTCCGTGGAACGAAATGGGGCGATGGATCGTCTTACAAAATTACTACACGACCAAAATAAAGATGTACGTTGTAGTATTTATATTATCAGGTGTGAAATAATGATAACGTACATTACAGATGTGATAGAAGCGTCTTCGGTAACGGGCGGGCGTGGAACTCCACGAGGCGACTACTACGGCGCACTGGTGGTGGTCGGCGTTATAGCGGCCCTCGGCGCTCTCACCTCACTGCTGCTTCTGTTAGTCGTAGTACGGCGGCATCGACCACGCTCCGTGCCTATAACACGTAAGTTCAATGAGGCAAGAGTAAGAGTGCAGTTAGTGAGTCTGGATTTTTTCCCAATTTTTTGTGATTTTGTTTTTAAACATAGAACACATACAAAATACCACCGTAAAATAACAGCATAATGTTGCTGCGTTTCGTATGGTGTGTGTAGAGAAATGGAGACCCTATAAAGTGATAACAAGGCATTCCATCATAATTCTCAGGAGTAACAACGCATTCGCATTATGATTTTAAATCGAGGATAGATTTCAATTGTTTCTCATGCCATCAGGTGGACAGTATAACGGCCCGTTTATCATTCTTACTTTTAGATAAAACAACATAGATTTAAAAACTGACTGACGTGTTTTAAAGGAAAAGGCTTCGTTTTTTTTTTGTGAACATAGTGGATATAATATACAGATTCAAAACATGTAATGTTCTTCGTTAATCTTCTTCTTTTCTCCAATTTTCTAAAAAAGTAGGTTATGTACGATTAAGGTGTGATAAAACTATGTACTTATTATTTCAGCTGTGCCATCAGCTCCTCGGGAGTCATCACTGCCTCCATATGACAACCCGGCGTACAAACTTGAGTTACAACAAGAAACAATGGGTAATTTTAATAATATAAACCCTGCAGAGTATATTATACTGCTAGTATAATATACTCTTCAAGGTTTTTTTTCAAACGCTAACCTACATTTCTCTGTATACTCTGTTGGTTAATGGCCACGCCTGATTGATTATAGAAAATCCATGTATCAACAATAAACTCAGATTTTACCCATTGGTGATTGAGAACAGGATTACCGGTGTAGGTACTGTTATTCAGTCTGCCTAAGTTCACTGCTGGGCTCATAGGGACACCTGGTCCTCTCACGTTTTAAGGAGAAATTGCCATGCTCATCACGCTTGCCACATTGAGAGTACCAGACGTCTCGTACCATTGACGCTGATCCCAACGCCGGTTTTTAAAGTTGAGGGAAATACAGGATGGTTGTACAATCCTTTTGGAAGCCATGACGTTTTTCTGGAATTTTCCGTACTAGTCTTAAGTATGCGCCACTCACGAATCTAAATGGGGTGATGGATTCTCCTACGCTGGTTCGTGGAGGTACAGGTACTCTGACCACGCGGTATTGTAATGCCGTAATTATATTAGAGCTTTGGACTAATAGACACACGTATTACCGTTAATATAGTAGTTAGTAGAGCTATGTTGCAGCTATATCATGGTTGGAGCACGAATGGGTTGATTCGACCAAGGAAGGACCACGCTGTCACAAAATGGCAGCGTAAAATAGCAGCTAAATACTGCTGTGCTTCCTATGGTGAGTGTAGAGAACCGGAGATCCTTTTTACTGTGATGTCTATGAGCCACAGTACACCTTTACTTTCAGATGGACTGTACGCTCGTTTGACGCCCGTATTCTATAGGCTACGGTCTCCTATTAAATGCTATACGCGACGTCCGACTTCAGCGTAAACGTTCCGATCGGCGTCTGAACGCCAGATACAGCGTCAGCGGTCAATATATATCTTACAAACGGACGACGTCTAGACTTTCGATCGAGCAACAATTAAGTAGCCGACAGTGATCACGTGTGGTTGTGTGTCATATTTGTACATAAAATGGATATAAATTCAATACTTTTGGGGGCGCTTGTGTTACTTGAAGAAGAGGCACAGGACGACCGTATACGAAGAAAAATAAATGCAAAAAGGCACCGATTATTTATGAAGTGATATGAAGAAGGATGTTTCCAGCTATTGATAATAAAACACTTAAAAGACAGCAATTCTAAATTTACTGAATATTTGCGTATTAATCTGGAACAATTTAAACATAATAATAATAAAACAGTAACTCGTCTTTTTCTTTATTAAATTTTGTCATTTTGTACTGACGCTAGACACGACCTTCACGCTGCAATGGTTCGAAATAACTAGAGACGCAGCGCAAAGCGTCTTAACGCCGCCTACGACGTCCATACGCCGACATCAGCTTGTGAAAGAGACCACAACAGTACATTTCTATAGTAAGCATCGTAACGCGGCGTACGGCGTGACGCTATAAGCGGCCGATGGCGTTTATAGGAGACCGCCGCCATAAAAAAATCTAATACGATGAGATCAGCGATGCAGTGTTAGAAACACAAAGAAACATGGCTGAAAGACCCATAGAGAAAAATAACTAAGATTCGAACACCGAAGTCAGAACTCCGATGTTCTGAGTTTGTGGCTGAATATTTATGTTGTCTTACATTTAAGCTAATACAACAAAATGCTACACATTTAATAAAACGAATCTTTATTTAACTACTTACAGTTTGCGTCCGAGCGTCGAGTAATAGACACCCGTAATTCTGTTTTTAAATTTATTAATTCGTTTCAAGCAAAATTCTTAGTTATTAAGCATTAATTTTCTTCTTACTGTGTTTAATTATCGTGTAGTATACAATATGTGAAATTCTAGTTCAATCAGTGTTCTCTGTCTGAAGATATTTAGCAAAAACTTTTAAAAATTATGTGTTAAACGGTCGTTTGTTAACCTTGTTTAGTAATCGGAGCGTGCAAGTGCTGTTGTACTTCACATATAAAAAACATTAGTTCGTTGACCTCATTTACTATAGATCGTCGCTAGCGTAAATATTAGTGTCTAATTTCGTCACCTAACATAACATAGACTGTAGCGCAGCAACAGAGCAAGTGTTAATACGCTGAGCGTCGTGGGTTCAAATCCAAGATAAATTTTTTTTTGGTTTATTTAGTTTTTTTTTAGACAATTTGTATCATTAAATCATGGCTAACTTTGAATGTGCTGGGTGCCTTAATGCACTTGATAACTCCATGTCATTGCAATGTCACCGATGCAATGACAAATATCATGTAGCATGCACGCGAATCACAATGCAAGATTTTAACGTGATGAGCTCGGAAATGAAGAGTTTATGGATATGTGACGTTTGCAGGTGTAAACAACCAAGAGGTGATCATTCCAACACTCCAGTTCGAAACTCACCAGTGGAAATGGAATTCGTAACTCAACGTGTAAAAAGTCGTTCTAATTGCTCTTGTTTATCGGCTAGTAATATACGTGAAATAATAAGAGAGGAATTGCGCAATATTTTTAGTAACGATTTACATCCTAAAATTCACGAAATAAAAAATACACTTGCCTCATTTGAAACTTCTTTGTCGTCGTTAAACCAAGATATAGATAAAATTAAATCCGATCATGCTAACCAATCTGCACAAATGCACCACATTACTAAGGAGAACGAAACTCTGCGTGCAGCTAACAAGAGTATCATAACTCGTCTTACGCAGCTTGAACAGCAGACACGAGCTTCAAATATTGAGATCCAATGTGTTCCAGAGAATAGACATGAGAATTTAGTTAACACAGTACAACAACTAAGCAATATCATAAAATGCCCTATAGCCCCAGAAAATATACATTTTTGTGCAAGATTAGCGAAAATGAATACTAAAAGCCCTCGACCGAGATCGATATTAGTAAAGTTCAGTAGTCCAAGACTACGTGACGAATTTTTAGCAGCTACCATCAAATATAATAAAAAAAATAGTACGGATAAGCTTAACACTAGCCATTTGGGAATCGCAAGCGCGAAGAATACTCCAATATACGTTGCTGAAAATCTTACGCCAGAGGGAAAAATCTTACACGCTGCAGCTCGCCGTAAGGCGAAAGAGCTCGGTTTCCGTTTTGTTTGGGTACGTGATGGAAAGATTTTTGTCAGAAAATGTGAAGGATCAAACTACATTCATATACGAAATCATGATACTGTCAATAATTTGTCATAGAGTGGCGCTAAATTCGCTAAACTGGTTTTTTTATTACATAAAGGCACTTTACAGAATAAAATTTCTATTTACTACCAAAATGTTCGTGGTCTAAGATCAAAAACAATTGATCTATTTAATAACATAGTCTGTAATTCATACGATATTGTAATTATGACAGAAACGTGGTTAAATGGGAGTGTTTTCGATTCTGAAATTTTTGATGATCGTTATAATGTTTATAGACGTGATCGGGAGAGTAGTGGTTTTCACGCTTCAAAGAATGGCGGGGGTGTACTTATAGCTGTATCTAAGCAAATAAATTCGGAGCGGCTCTTTAGTTTCGAGTCCAAGTGCGAGGATCTTTGGGTTTGCGTAGAAGTAGAAAACGTCCAAGGCAAGTCTGAAAGACTTTATATATGTGCTGTGTATATTCCCCCACCCGTCCAAAAACACATTTTTGAGCATTTTATTAATAACTCGAGTGGAGTATTGGAATCACTCGATGAAAATATAATTGTTGCCGGAGATTTTAATCTAAGTAGTATAACATGGTCTTTGGAGCCCCACGGGCATCTTTGTGCAAATTACTCCAACAGCTATCTACAGAATCTCTTAACAGACTTTCTCTCGTGCAATGAATTAAACCAATTTAATCTAATTAAGAACTCAAAAAATAAAATGCTAGATCTTGTCTTGTCTAATACTAACATTGTTGATATTCTGTCATGTCCTGATCCTTTGACATGTGTTGATCCCCTTCATCCGCCATTAGTTTTTTCGATAGATTTTACAGATCCGGCACCACTAGTCCCTAATAACACAATTACAAAATTTTGCTTCCACAAGGCTGATTATGAAAATATAAGGAAGGATCTAAATGAAATTGATTGGAGGGAAATTTTGGGTGAATGTCTTTGTGTTGATGATATGGTTGCAGTATTTTATGACATAATTCGTAAGTTAATACGGAAATATGTACCTAAGGCTAAACCGCGTAGTCATAAATACCCAGTTTGGTTTACTCCGTGTCTGATAAAATGTATTAAAGAAAAATATAAATATAGGATGAAAGTTCGCAAATATAACAATCCTCGCGATAAACTCTGTTTTGACTTACTGAAAAGAAGATGTGAGGATATGCTAGCATACTCCTACGCTAAGTATATAGAATGCCTTGAACTCTCTTTAAAGTCTAACCCAAAGTTGATTTGGTCATTCCTAAAACAAAAGAAAGGTAAAAGTTCGTATCCTTCTAAAATTAAAGACGATAATAAATTTGTTTCCAATGGAACAGACATTTGTAATGTTTTCGCTAGTCATTTTTCGTCAGTATACAGTCGCAATAATAATATCCAAAACTTCGATACTAGTCCTAATCTTATGAACCCTTGTTGCAATGTGTACCTTGATTATATATCTTATACAGTGGAGCAGGTTTACAATGTTTTAAAAAGACTTGACATTAAGAAAGGAGCTGGAGCAGATGGCATTCCATCAATATTTGTACGCAATTGCGCTAACGCATTGGCTTTGCCTATTGCACTGATAATCAATAGATCTCTTAGGACTAGTACATATCCAACCTTATGGAAAGAAGCCCTTGTGTTGCCTTTGTTCAAAACCGGTGACAAAGAGGAAGCTAAAAATTAATACCTATTTCCATTATTTCTGTTTTTTCAAAAGTGTTTGAGAAACTTGTATGTCCCGTTGTTTCATGGCACTTTAAGCAATTTGTTACATCTGAACAGCATGGGTTTGTGAAAGCTCGATCAACAGTAACTAACCTAGTTTCCTTTGTGGAAGACATTACTGAATCTCTTGATACTGGTCAATCCGTTGATGCAATCTACACAGATTTCAGTAAGGCCTTTGACAAGGTTGATCACTCTATTTTACTTGCCAAACTCAAAAGGATAGGTATAGCCAACCCTTTGCTGGACTGGTTTAAGTCATATCTTGCCAATCGATCGTCAACTGTTGTTGTTGATGGTTATGCTTCTGAGACGTTTATTGCCTATACTGGCGTACCTCAAGGATCTCATCTTGGGCCTTTGCTGTTTAACATTTTCATCAACGACATCAGTAATTGCTTTAAGAATTCGAAATCTTATTTGTTTGCTGACGATCTAAAGATCTTTAGACCTGTCTCCTCAAATTCTGATGCAGAATTCTTACAGGAAGACTTAAATAACTTGACATTATGGTGTCGTAGCAACGGTATGACACTAAATGCTGACAAGTGTCATGTTATAAAATTTTCTAGAAAGAAAACATCTCTTGCAACAACATATTACATTAATGGTCGTATTCTGTCTGAAGTTCCTCACATACGCGATTTAGGAGTTACGCTTGACAATAAGCTTCGTTATAATATCCACATAGATAATGTTGTCAATAAGGGTTTTAGGACTCTTGGCTTCCTCTTCCGTAACTGTAAGCAATTCTGGGATACTCGCACTAAAATAATTATTTACTCAGCCATGGTACGAAGTATCTTGGAATACTGCAGCGTAGTATGGAATCCCCACTTTAATATTTACTCACATAGAATTGAAAGGATACAAAAGAGATTTCTTTTGCATTTATCTTACGATCATAACCTAGTTAAAACTCTTAGAACTTACGAAGATAAGCTAAATTACTTTAAGCTTCAGCCACTTTCGAATCGAAGACAGCTCCTTGACCTTATTTTCTTGTATAAGTTGGTGAATGGCGTCATTGATAGTTCTTACTTACTAGCCAAATTAAATTTTCGTACCGCATTGAAGTCAAAAAGGCCGTCGTCTTATATACCATTCGTAGAAAAGAGCACACGTTCTCGTCAAGCGCGCTATTCTCCGATTAATAGACTGATGATGAGTTTTAATGCTATATATAAATTATCACATAAGAATAGTATTGGTGCCATAATGACTAATGATAACAAAAATAAAGATAGAAAAGTTGATATTGACATATTTTCAGATAATTTTTGGAAATTTAAACGTGATTTATTACATTTATATTCCTCAAATAATTGTAATTCACAGTAAAATTATATTATTTTTCTTTAAGCTAAATTGTGATTAGGAAATGATTGTATATTATAATTTATTAATGATTTTATTTTTGTTATGTTTAACGTTCATAAAATTTCTAATGTTAATAACAATAGTGGAATATGCATGATTTAATTTAATTAATTATATAACACTAAATTCTGATATATTTATTGATCTCTTAATTTTTGTATTCAATTTAATTCACTGCATATGTTTTACTTGTGTCTATTTTTTTGTAATGAAATGTGTGTAACACCTATAATTAAGTCTACGCTTAGTTTTTATGATTTTTTGCAAAAATATTATGCTTTTGTTAGTGTATGTCTTGTTGGTGTTAAATAAATAAATAAATAAAATACTACTAATTTTAGCCGTGTTGTGACGGTGGTATAATATTCTCTACTTGCCCATCCCTGTTTCAATTTTCATTTGTCGCCTTTCATGACACCCACGGGGTATGTGGGTAGTGGATATACTTAAACCGGCACTTCACTTCAGTACACTCTAGCCCACTTTCCACTATAGGATATAATATAATTTATATTACATCTCGAGATATAAATTAATATCGCTCACCGTACTTTTAAATGGAACCGTTTACACTGAGATGTAATATTTATTATATCTCAAACTATAAATATTTTTTCGATCGACCGAGCGATATTTTCACATTATTTTTCACCTCTTGTACTATAATATAATATAATATTATAGCTGTGAACCTGTTTGAACTGTGAACTTGTGAATTTACTTTATTTATTATCAAAAACATAGATACTGTGAGCTCTAAGTACAACACAGGTGTGCGGGGCACACCCTTCCGCGCCTTCACTACGTCCTCAAATCGTCCAATGACGAACGCACACTAGTTAAAAGATATATATCATAGTCTAATAGTGTGAAGGGCAATCGCAGGATATAATTTATATCTCGGGATGTCGCATAGTGGAAAGACAACTTCATAATTTCTCAAATATATGTGTTGATTCAAAGTTCCTCAATATTATTTGTACATATCTTTGAAATGTATTGCATTTGTACGAGTATACTAGAATGCATCTTGCAGTTAGATGTTTGTTTATGTTATTAATTATAACTTTAGTTTTAAATAAAAAGTACAAAGCTAATTAAGAATGTCTGTTATCAGATCTCTGACAGTTGAGTTCCCGTGGGCACATTGGAAATGGGCTCAACGGGATGTCGGAGCGCAGCGTTGACCCAAACAATGGCCGGCGACCGTACAACGAATTGGCCGTGTAAACACAGTTTTCAGCTACTTGTGAGAAGGAACTAGAAAAATTAAAGTATTGTATTACAGTGTTTGAAGCTTTAACCGTTATACGATATAAGTGTTTTTGTGCGAACTTTGACAGCAAGTTCCCATTAAGGGGCATGATGGAAGTAATTATTTGTGCTCGCCCTAAGTAGCAGATGTAAGACAACTGTAAAATAAAGTTAGGTACACACTAGAGCACATATATTGGTTTCCAAATACGTGATTTGTAATGCTAATAAAAGGTGGATAAACAAGTACAGATATTTAATGTTTATAATTTACTATGTTAAAGGTCCCTTTGCTGTTTAGAAATCCGTATTGGCTGGTATCGCCTTCAAATCTATTTCCGATCAGTAGGGGATTTATTTTAAAAGCCGATGTATCGCTATCAAAAATATTTCTATTTGTGAAATACCTTTAAGTCATAATAAAAATAACTACATTGTTTATTTGTGTACAGAATTTCGAATCAGTTCTAAAATATTCAAATTTAGTTTCTTCTTGCAAAAAAAAAAACACCACCAACAGACTGTATTAAAAATTGCTAGGCATTTCATCTTATTCCTTAAGGGGAAAAACGCTTCTATTGTCTTTGTTTGAAATCGACTGCAGTTCTTCGTGAACTGTAATAACCACTTGCTATCAGTTGGATTATATATCTTAAATGTCTCTATAATAAAAAAATGCTTTCGCCTAAACAGTGCTGTAGTGTGTACCTACCTCTAAATTAATCTCGTTTATAGAATTCTTTGTTTTGTTATGACTTTTTAAAACTAGTGTAAGGTACGTAATGTCTAAATTAATTCTAGTTTTTTTTGAAGGAGCACTTAATTTTGAACTCTAGTTATATGTTTCTTAAAGTTCATGTATCATTTGAAAATATTTAAAAAGTAAACGTTGAGAAATAAAGCAAGTTAATTATATAAACATAATTATCATATAAAGGCATCAAAAAAGTGCTAAAATTGTACCTTATTATATTGTATATAGTGTTAATAAATTATACGTAGAAAAGTATTTTGTTGAATATGTTAGTCAATGTTAGGTGTCTATCACAGATTAGTACTTACCTCAAAATGATTTTAAGCCTCCTGATATCATATATTCTAAAATATATAAAATACATCACCAACAAAAATGATTATATCGTTATCATCGATATGTATAAAATTTTAAGATAAATTCTAAACTAAGCTCTCTATGACTTGATTTGGATTCTGTAGCAAGTTACAAGTTTTTATCTTTAAACTATTGGATAATTATTTTCAATTATTATTGCGTAGTGCTTAAACCTTTTTTGCGTTAGTGGTATTTACTTATCAATAATTTATCATGAAAAGAATTACACAGGGTAGAGCCACGTAGAAGCATATAATGGTTACAATACAAAATGTCGGCTCAACCGGGGAAGAACCATGTAACACAAGTTGCAACAGTGTAAATTAAATCACATAAATACAATCATCAATCACAATCAAATAAACACAACTAACTATAGCAATATAATCCAGCTGTGTTTCATATGTTGAATACGAAACAGAACCCTCTTTACTGGTAACGAGGGATTACTTCTAGATGACAACACATCTCAATTTTGTTTCTTAATCGAAAATAAATATAGGTACTTATGAGTCACAGCATCCGCTTACCAGCAGATTGACTATGGGCTCTTTACACAATCCAGTTTCACTATTACAAACTTGCAATATTATTGATTTCTTATATTTACGTCAACATTACTCATTGAATGAAATCAGTTATATAACGCGGGGAAATCAGTAAAAAACTAGTTTCATTCAATACCAGCAATATTTTTATCAACAATTATTACTTACTTATACCATGTACAGTTCTTTTACTTATTAATAAAATATTTTGCGTGTTTATAAATGCTATTTCTACATTAGTTGAAAGACCAAATGGCAATAAGAAAGAGGTTAATCTAGTGCCTTCCGTTTGAAATAAATGTGCCTTCTTGTATTAAAATTTTTATAATGATATAACAAAGTTACCTAGAGTGAAATCCGTGAATACACCTATTGTAATAATGAATACTGTACGTAATGTTTGTAATGTTATGTTAATTGTAATATAATAAACACTATTATTTATAAATAACATGTTTTTAATTTACCAAAATAACTTCTTAACCTATAAGTATAAGGTTTAAAAAATATTATAAGGATACTCAAGTTCGGGTTTTCAAAGTACCAACGTAAAATAGTAACTTTGATGCTGCTGTGTTTCGAATGGTCAGTATAGAGAACCGGAGACCCGTTTTACTGAAATCGAGGCACAATCTAAGTCCTCAGGGGTGACAACGCATCTGCATTTTGCTATTATAGTCTATGGGTGACAGCATCCACTTACCGTCAGGTGGACTGGACTGTGTGCTTATTTGTCACACTTATTCTATAAATAAAGAAACAATAAAACGTGAAATTTTTTAAAGGCGACTAAAATAAGCAATTGTGTAAATATTATATTAATTAATATTCTTTTTATAGGGGGCAAACGAGCATACAGCTCACCTGATGTTTAGTGACTACCGCCCTCCATGATCAACCGCAATACCAGGGGAATTGCAGGTGCGTTGCCGGTCCTTTAGAAAGGAGTAAGCTCTTTTCTTGAAGTCCCTAGGTCATATCGGTCCGGAAAAATCGCCGGTGGTAAACTATTCCACAGAGAGGTCGTACGCGGAAGAAAACTCCTCGTGAAACGTACAGTGGTGGACCGGTAAGCATCCAGATGGTGTGGATGGTACCGGGACGTTTGCCGCGTAGTGCGTTCACGAAATTTGGCGGCTGGGATTAATCCGAACAATTCCCCAGAGCACTCCCCGTAATAAATATATGCGAAAAATATATTATAAAGCCACGCTGAAGCTATGCTAGCTTTACATAGCTGCAGCACGAATGGATTGCTTTGACCAGGTAGGACCACACTCTCAAAAAATACTAGCGAAAAAAGCAGTAAAATGCTGCTGAGTTTCGTATGGTGAGTGTAGAGAACCAAAAACACTTTTTATTGGTAACGAGGTATTTCATCTTAGTCCTCATCTGTATTTTCATTTTCATTTGTCAGAAGAACTATTTGATCAATTGGCAACCTTATTCTGCTAAAAAAATAAAGAAAGAAATGGAGAAGATTAGACAAAAATTATCGGGATTATAAAATTGTTACACGATAAATTCAAGTGATCTGTGTGCTTTTTTTATAAGAAACAGCAGCTTTATACTGCTGAGTTTTGTAGTTGAGTGCTGAGTAAGTTGGTGAGTAAGTTAGTAGGAGAACCAGAGAGCCCTTTTTACTGCAAACAAGGCCTTCAATTTTATTCCTCGGAGGCTACAACGTATCTGCATTTTGATTGTTAATTGAGGATAGATGTAGATAGATGTCTTCATATTATGCTCATGCCTTAGTATCCACTTACTATTTTACCATACTCTTAATCTATAAGAAAAATCAATGTTTTAATGTTTTATGGTGTTAATGTTTTTAGGAACAACCTATATATTTAGTATTATGTTAGTTTGTGTTAACGCCATGTCACGTAATCAAGGGAAGGGAATCTTTTGTTACTACTAAAACATCTGCAAACAAATACTTTTGGTAAAACACAATGCTTTTTAGTCGCCTTAGTAGGGAATGCAAGTTTTTAAATTTTAAATGAAGAAACTTCATAAGCTAATTCACTTATTACTACTTTACTTCTATATAAAGTAATAATCTTAATACCGAATTTCTCTTATTTCTTAGGTTTTAGGGCAAGAAACTGTTCGTCACACTGTCCCAATTCGTGTTAGCGAAATTAACATGTCTTTGAAATTTTTTTTAGTTACAATTTTTTTGCGTAGCGTCATGCATTCGAGCGCTTAGGTTTAAATTGGATAATGAGCCATCTTAGCGTTGTAAATATATTTCCATGGTCGCTTTTCACGATTAAAGTTTGTTCTCGTTCAGGAAGTCAATTGAAAGAATGTTCTAGGACGCTTTAAATTTCTTTGTAAGATAAAAATATGCACTTGAATTATAGTCGTTAATTATATTTTGCTCTGTAAACGGCAGCTATGCTTTGAAAAAGTCGGATGGAACCTTCCTTTATCATTTTCTTTGCTTAAGGTTTGTTTATAAAAAGCGGGATGTTTAAATAAAAATAATAACAAGTGTGTTTTGAGATATGTTAATTTTTTATAGAATGGGGTGACAAATGAGCACATACTCCACCTGAAGGTAAGTGAATTCTGCGGCCCTTAGCCATCTTCATCTATTCTGTGAGTACGTATGAAAATTCTTTATCATATTTCCTAAATTTTAAATGCTGTAGATATACATGCAGTATTTTGTGATTCATGATTTTTTCTGATTTCATTTGCAATGTTTAAAATAACAATTTGAGAGACGGGCGGAGGATCAGGGGTTATTTAGTATTTACCTAGGTATATTCACGGTAAGGTAAACAAGGCAAGATGGTACCATTACAATGTTGGTGTACCCCATCCTTATATCCAGTATTTGGGTTTGGCATTTTCGAATAATCCGCCATGTTCAGGTTTTTTTTATAGCATTGGGGGGGTAACAAACGAGCACACAGATCACCTGATGGTAAGTGGATGCTGTGACCCATAGACATCCACATTTATCCTCAATTAAGAATCAAAATGCTAATACGTTGTCATGTCACCCCTGAGGACTAGGTTAGAATGCCTTGGTTTCAGTAAAAAAAGGTATTTGGTTCTCTACACTCACCATACGAAACGCAGCAGCATTACGCTCCTATTTTACGCTGATATTCTGCGCGAGCGTGGTTCTGCCCCAGTCGAGCCGACTCACTCGTGCTACAACTATCATATAGCGGCAGCGTGGATCTGCCACGTAACAAAAGGTCCGGTCGTCAGAGCGTCTTACGTTAGTTAGTAAGGTTTTCAACGCTTGCAGCAACGTTGGCATTTGGCAGCTATGACAATAACATTTCAGTCTATATAAATCTGGTGAGATCATTTTATGCTGAGGATAGGTAGCACAAATAATAAACGGAGACTTGGGTTTTATTAGTGAATACCATTAGAGCCTATCAAAGTCCACTGCGGAACATAGGCTTCCCCCATAGATTACCCATACTATACTTACCATGCTTGGAAAACGGATTAGTAACTGCAGTTTTATATTTTTTAGTTGTTGATGAAGATGCTGATGTCCTTCTACCGTTTAAGATTTCTTCAGTCGCCTCTTATGACACCCACCGGGCCCTGGGTATGGGGACATTCTCACACCGCCATTACACGGTTATCAGTGAATAATGTGTTCTTGTGAGCTTACGGTCTTGGATGTTAAGTTCTTGTTGACCAATGTGATTATGAGGTAAACAAAAAGCAATTGCTTATCTTTATGAGATACCGGATATGCTATGTTAATATTGTTGACATAGTTCCGTCAACTACGGTCACAGAATCATTTCATCTGGCTTCTTTTAAAATGTCTCATTTAATCATAAATGTACGTAATACATTTAGAGCGGGGTCGTATATATAATAAATACTTTGTATACGTACGATCAATAGGTCGCGGATTATTAAAGTCGACTAAAAATTAGGTTTTGAAGAATATCTAAGTAATTTATCGAGGAGTTAGGAGTTTGTGAAGCTTTTACAACGATTGTGAAGTTTCCAGACCGTTTACATTCATAAAACTAGGCGGTACTCCATATCGGTAGCGCTTTTGTATATTAATGGATGGGTGGGAGGAAGCGGGTTAATGGGTGCTGATCATGCAGAGTTTATACAAATGTCAATCTTATTAGCACCAGGTACCCTCTGGCCTTCGACTGTTAGCGAACAACCCGTCTGAAAACTACGACCCCGAATAATCTTGAAGAGGTTGTTAAAGGGCAGTATCGCCCGTAAGCGAACAACTCGTCTGAAAACCACGACCCCAAATAACCTTGAAGTGGTTGTTAAAGGTTAGTACAGTAAAAGCCAGTACATGGGAGGGGTTTAAAAATTTATGCCTTACGTACCGCATTCTTGAAAAGGCTTAAGTGTAACCTAATGTCCAACATAAAATGGCTGAATAAGATGAGGAAAAAGGTAGTTTACAGGAATATGTGTGAAATTAAACAAAGCTAATGGAATGCTAATAAATTAAGTTAAATAAAGACAAGCGGTAAAATTAAAATATTTGTGCAACCGACTTGAATATAAATAAAATGAGAACATCATCGATATAGTCGAAGTCAATAAAATACGCATTATTAAGCATAACTCAAAAACTACTGGTCAGATCTTGATCAATTTATATGGGACTACATGAGAAGCACAAGTTTTCAAATAAAAAAAGAATCATCAAAATCGGTTCACCTAGAAAAAAGTTTTGAGTAACACACTTAAAAATACAGTCGAACTGCGAAACTCCTCCTTTTTTTGAAGTCGGTTGAAAACTCCAAAAAATATTCAAAAGAAGTATTTGTCCAGCTTTAAGATAGTACTGTGTTGCTGGCTCGTATCTGTAAGTTATAGTAACAAAGAATTATTACCATTGTCGTAGTTTTGATAGTTTCGAAAACAACTTACTAAATACATTTTAACCGAATACAAAACTACCTGACAACATTATATTAATACAATACACATACATAATAGGAAATAGGCCGGAAATAGAGTATACAAAGTGAAAACTTTCTTTAAGATATGCCGAAGAATTAGGATCATTTAAGATTAAAAAAAAGGGTCAATAAAATTCTGGAGCAACGCCTTTGACGTATAGTGAGCTATTTAAGCTTGAAACGATATGCAGAGATATGATCATAATTATTTAAATTAAAAACAAATCTTATGCAACTATTGAGGAGGCGCTATAAATTGTTAAGAAGATTTTGCGATGGGTCCGGATTTTAGACTATTGAAGTCGGTTTTTATTTAAAAAGTTAACTCTTTTATCCTTTTGGTGTAAAGTGATGATTAAGGAAATAATCAATCTCAATGTCGTCTAAATAGTTCTGTATCCCATATTTCCTATATAGATTTTGATGCACTGATAATTAAGTACTTAGGAAGGTAATTATCCGCTTATTTTTTGCTTCAGGTGATGAGGCGATACAAATGCAAAGGCATTCGCGGTGATTGGGTGGAAGATGATATGAAGTTCGCTATGTCTGCTATAAAGAGAGGGGTTATGAGAGTGAACACAGCTGCAAAGAGGTTTAATGTACTAAGGCGGACTCTGAGACGATATTTGGCAGAAAACAAAAACACTAAATCCACCTTGGGTAGAAAACCATTGTTAAATTCGGATCAAGAAACGATTTGAAATCCCGCATTATCCGACTTTGCAGCGTTGGTTACCCACTAACACAGCGTGTATTACGTTCATGTGTTAAAACGTTCTGTCCCGCCAGAGCTCAAAAGCTTAATAAGGCAGTAGTGTCTGATTACTTTGCGAAATTAAAGGATTTAATGAAAAAATATGACTTAATGAAGAAACCAAAACGAATTTATAATATTGATGAAAAAGGTTGTCAATTAAATTTACACAAAACTCCACAAGTTCTAGCAGAACGCGGTACAAAGAGAGTACACATAGTGGCAGCTGAACATGGAGAATCAGTGACTTTAGTGTCTTGTGGTAATGCATTAGGGCACGCAATACCACCCATGATTTTATTCAAGGGGAAAAGGATGAAAGGAGAATGGCTCGATTCGTTACCTACCGGTGCTGTAGCTCAGATGACTCCCAAAGGAAGCCTAACCACCGACGCTTTTGTGAATTGGATACATCACTTTTCAAAATTCAAATTACCAGGAAATGTGCTTCTTATATTCGATGGTGCAAAGTGCCATTTGGATTACTCTATTGTGGAGATAGCTGAAAAATATGAAATCAAGCTTTTTTGCTTGCCCAGTAATACGACCCACGAGCTTCAGCCTATGGGTAAAAGCGTATTTAGGTCGTTTGAATATTACTGGGATGAGGAAATACTTAGATACTGGTCTCTGCATGAAGACAGAAAAATCACCAAACAAAGATTTGGAATCATATTTAGTAAAGTGTGGGATAAAGCTGCAACACCAGCTGGCTTTGAGCACCAGCAAAGCTGGATTTGAGGCTACAGGGATCTACCCATTCAATCCAGATCGGATCCCAGAGGAAGCATATGCTCCAAGTATTCCTACTTATAACCCCATGCCAATTGTTGATGATAAGGACACTGACACTGATGTAAGTGAAAGTCTCCTTCATGAGGCTGCTTCAAATATAAGTGCAATTAATACACCTTTAAGCGATAATAACTTTAATTCTCTTTCTGCTTCTACAGAGCAGATTGGAAATTCTGCCACTAACCCGTGTCAAAATATTACCGTTTGTAATGAACCGAAAAAATCTTTCTATGATATGTTGAAAACTCCTTAAAAAAGTGCAAAACGTCTCGAAATGGCTCGTAGAAAAAAAACGATCAATAATTTAGTTCAAGAACTTAAAAAATCAATTTTCCCTGAAAAGAAAAATATTTTAGGACCATCAAACAGTATTACAAAACGTTCAGAAAAAGGAAGGAATTAACGCAAAAACACAAAAAAAGTAAGTTGACAAACAGCATAAGTCAAAAAAATGTACTGAATCATGGTACTGTTTCGTTTGTGGAGAAGACAGGGTAGCAGATATGAGACCGTCTTTTATCTGTGAAACTTACGTCCATGAAGAATGCGTAGGACTAACTGCAGTAGACAAAGACCAGTTTATATGCATTAAGTGTGATAACGATCGAATTAAAAAATGTGTATGCCTTTTGTTCCATTAATATTATTTTTTATATAAAAAAAACATTAGCGGATTATGACTGACTGAAATTAATCTTGAATCTCAAAATGTGCCATAAGTCATTCTTTTTATTGTGATTGTGTCTAAAACTCTTTATTTGATCTAAAAGCATTGCTATATAATGTAACATAATTGACGTTTTTTCTTTATAATTATGTTTTGCCAGTTACTTCTATTTAAGACTGAAATATTATTATAGAATTCAGAATATGCCACTTACTATTACTTTAATATTAATCCTACTTATTGTTAGTATTGTTAGCTGTAATGTTACTTGTTAAATTTGTTTTAGTCTTTTCCCTTTTGGTTCACCTGCAATATTTAAACAAGTAGATATTGTTACGAGCTTGAGGTTCGTGACAATAAAAATTGCCGATAAAATTACCTAAATTAACACTTTAATTTACTTTACACAAATTAAAACTTAAAACACTAATAATTAAACACACTAATTCACTTTATTCCGCTCCGAAGCTTCGCTTGTTTCGCCACTTCAATACTGCCTCGATCGCATCTTGCAGCGCCTATTTATTTAAATTAGGACGAGTGTGCGAGTGTAGATTTTCTAGAAACTTAGTTCTTCGGATGGCGCTGTCGGTTGAGAGATTTGTGATGTCATTTTCTGCAAAGCTCCCCTCGCTCTCGTTCCTGACACTAGATGGCGCTAGTTGACTTATTCACGCAACACTGCCCCCTCCTAAGACATGCTCGTCCCGAGCATTATCGGTCCCATAATAACGCGCCAAGCGATCCACATGGACGATCTTAGGAGTCCCTCTTGCGCCTTTCTGTACCCGGTAGGTCACATCGTTGATCCTGGTTACAATCCGGTACGGGCCGTCCCATTTAGCTTGAAGCTTAGGAGATTTCCCTTTGCTGCGGACTGGATTGTGCAACCACACTAATGAACCTTCGTTGAACCCTTTATTGTTCATTTTGCGGTCGTACCGGGTTTTCATTTTCTCAGATATTTGCTGGCCCGATTGTCTGACGTGCTCATAAATGTCATTCATTTTGTTCCGCAAGTCATTTGCATAATCGGTTATACTGCGTGGGGCATCAGGTGGTATCCCGGTGATCAGGTCTGCAGGCAGCCGTAATTCTCTTCCAAAGTTTGCGACAGCTGGTGTCACTGCTGTACTTTCGTGAACAGAACTTCGACATGACAACAAAAAAGGTTGTATGTGCTTGTCCCAATCTCGTTGCCGATTGTCTACAACTTTTGCTAGGTACCTCTCCAATCTTAAATCGTTCCACCATTCCATCAGATTGCGGGGAAAATTCCTTCCTTGATCGCTGTGAATCTCTAAAGGTACTCCAAAACGACAGAAGACTTCATGAACTAGTTTATCTGCAACTGTTGAAGCTTCTTGATTTGGAATGGCAAAAACTTCTGGCCACTTTGTGAAGTAATCCATCACAACCATGAAATACTTGTTACCGCTTTCACTCTCCGGAAACGGCCCCGCCACGTCAATGGCTATTCTCTCCCATGGTGCACCAACATTGTACAACTTCAATGCACCTCTACTACGAGTCTGAGGTCCCTTTACAGCCGCACAACTTGTACATTTGCGACACCAGTCCTCGACATCGTTTCGACAGTGGACCCAGTAAAACCGTTCTCGGATCTTCAGTAGAGTTCGTCTAACTCCCAGATGGCCTCCTGAATAATCATTATGGTACAGCTGTAGAACATCCGGTACTTTAGCTTTAGGGACAACCATTTGTAAATGACAGCTGTCTCCCCGAACATTTTCCCATTTACGGCACAGAACTCCATCCTGAAGCAGCAAGCTGTCCCACTGGGCCCAATAGCTTTTAGTGGTCGAACTTATCGCTGAGACGTCGCTCCACTTGGGCTTGGGAGCACTGGCCTTCATCCATTCCAGGATCGGCTTGATGTCCGGATCTTCCTGCTGTGCACGTTGTAAGCTGTCCTTCCACTCGTTGCTGAGGTGGTCTGCCCTGAGCATCCTAACGGATACCACTTCCTTACTCTCTTACCTAGTACAATGTTTGCAATCTTCAGGACAAGGTCTTCTTGACAATGCATCTGCGTTGCCATGAGATTTCCCGTTGCGATGTTCGATCTCAAATTCGTATTCCTGCAGTAGTTCAATCCACCTCGCAACTTGTCCTTCTGTTTGGATTTTTAAACTGCAATAGCCATTTTAGTGCAGCATGGTCAGTTCGTAAGTGAAATTTTCGCCCCAGAAGATATTTGCTAAAATGCTGCAACGACTTTACCACAGCTAGCAATTCGCATCTTGTGACACAGTAGTTCCTTTCCGGTTTTGACAACGACTTGCTGTAGAACGCTACCACGACCTCTTGGTCACCATTACGTTGAGACAACACACCGCCAAGTCCTATATCACTTGCGTCTGTGTCAACTATAAATTCTTTGCTTGCATCAGGGTATCCCAAAATAGGTGTTTTGCACAAACGGTCCTTGAGCTCCTGGAATGCGATATTACAACTTTCATCCCAGCAGAAATGTCGTTTCTCCTCGGTTAGCTTATGCAGAGGTTTGGCTATATCTGCAAAGTTGTTCACAAAACGTCGGTAATAGGAACACAAACCCAAAAATGCTCTAACCTGCGTCTTGTCTTTTGGAACCGGCCAATCCTTTACAGCTGCGATTTTCTCTGGATCCGTGCGGATACCTTCTTCCGACACTACATACCCCAAAAAGTTGACTTGCCGTTTGAATAATGAACATTTCTTCGGACTCAACTTGAGGTTGGCACTCTTAATCTTCATGAGCACGCGTTCCAGGTTTTGAAGGTGTTCCTCAAACGTACGGCCCACGATGATGATGTCATCCAAGTAGACCAGACAGGCATCGCCAATTAGCCCGGTAAGTACAAGTTCCATCAGCCTTTCAAACGTTGCTGGAGCATTGCACAACCCAAACGGCATTACTTTAAATTGCCACAGACCCTTTCCCGTCGAGAACGCAGTTTTCTCCTTGTCCTTAGGGTCAATTTCAACTTGCCAGTAGCCACTTTTTAGATCCAGCGTGCTAAACCATTTTACTCCTGTAAGCATGTCCAGCGTGTCATCAATTCTTGGCAAGGGATAGCTGTCCTTCTTTGTAACGTCGTTCAGACGGCGCTAATCAACACAGAACCGCATGCTGCCATCCTTCTTCTTTACCAGCACCACGGGTGAACACCATGGACTAGATGAAGGTTCAATAACACCATCCTTCACCATTCCCTCAATCATGGTTTCCACTTCCTTTTCACGTGCTACCGGCAATCTTCTTGGCCGCTGACGGATAGGCAATTCTTCTCCTGTGTTTATTTTGTGTTGAACTAAGCCAGTCTTTCCTATGTCAGCATCGTTTGATGATAATACATCGGCGTACTTGAGTAACAACTTCTTCGCCTTGACCAATTCGTTAGGGGAGAGAACACTGCGACAGTCTTCCTAAAGTGTGGTCACTCTCGTTTCTGCATCCTTGCTGGGGGTCCCACTCGATATATATTGGCACCGACGTAACCAATCCACTTCCTCACAAGTACCAATCAGTGTGCCTTTTTCTATAATCTGTTCCCGGTCGCAAAGGTTTAGCACACGTACTCCTGAGATGTCAGTGGTCCTGACTTAAGTTCGAGCTACTTTCCATGGAAGGTCATTGTTTACCCTTTCCACAAGTACACAACGGTGAGCTTGCCTAGCGTTTCGAGGAAGACTAACCGGAACAATCGTTTCCGATCTCGGCGGAAGAACAATCTTCTTAATGCTGTACACGTTCCCTGGTAACGCACCTTCCATAAAAAGTTCCTCCTGTCCACATTTCAAAACACCTTGCTTAACGTCGATCTCACAACAATTATTCCTCATAAAGTCTAGGCCTAGGATGCAGTCGTCCATTATATCAGCCACGATGACATTATGCAGGTAGATCACGTTGCTAGCTTTAACTCCATCTCCTTCTCTCCACGGACGGGTATACGCTGACCGGTGGCTGTTACCAAATTAATGCGTTCTCGGTTGTATGCGGAGTCCCCAAGGAACTGACTTATAAGTTGGGAACTAACAACCGTACGAGAGGCTCCAGTGTCTATGGTCAGTTTACACGGCATTCCGTTGACCTCGCCCTTGATGATTAGACTGTTCCCATCATGGGTTTGTGAGATCGAGATCCTTGGGGCTCTTTTAACATCAGCCAGCACCCGCCCCGCAGTTCTGGCTTTTACTCGTTTCAATGCTGCTGCTGGGCGGTGCTGTTGGCCACAGTACCCTCCTGAGATCGTTCACCTTCCCTTTCTAGGGTTCGCTTAGGGCAGCTGGATCGAAGATGGCCCTTTTCCCCACAGCCATAGCACCTAGGGCTGTATCCTCTGTTGCGGTCGCGAACTGTAGCTGCTGCAACCTCCCTGACGCGTGACGCGCGTGGGAACGATGATCATGCCGCACGGCTTCTACCTCCAGTGCATGGGCCAAGGCGTCCTTAAGCGTCTCGTGGTGCCCGAGCCTCACAGCAGCTCTGACTTCCAGGTCACGGATGCCGTCGATAAATGTCTGCACCAGGTTCCCTTCAATGAGCGCAGGTACAGACCGGTATGCTTTTCTAACCA